GATATGGTATTCTCAGCGATCTCATAATTACCTCAAAATAATCTGTGATGTGAGCTTTCCATTTCCTCAAAGTTTTGTTTTACTACTGATATATTATATATATATATATATATTATATAAATTGTGATGTGTTGGCATGATTACGAATAAGTGAAAAAAAGCTTGACTTTGTAATGTGGATCTTTTGTTGTAGGACTATAACTGTTTTCAAAGGAAAGAACTAGTTTGGAAGAATAAAAATGTTCGCCATCGACCTCAACCCAACCTAATCGGTTATGGGAGTGACGCCACCTTTTAACCAAACGTAAATCATATTTGCTTAAATGCTCGCACTTCAGATAGAAGCGGACATCGGTTGTCACAGCGAGCAAAATATACAATTTATAAAACGTGCAACGTGGAATCTATTGCTGAAGTTTGGTTTATGTATAAAAATTTTGGCGCGATTGAAGTTTCAGTTTGTACAACCAGTAACCATGCACTATCGTCTGCCGGTTTTGGTTAATTTTGTTGTTCGATGGTGCGTTGATTGTCCGTCTGCTTTTGCCATCATGACGAGACTGCACCTCGGCGTGGTGTGATGGCTTGCGTGCCTCAATGACCCTGCGAGCTATACAGGATGGCTTCTCAGCCGCAAATCCAATCATGCCTGAAAGGTCATCGGGTAGAGGCCAGACGAAGATTAGTCTCACAAGACCTCCCGGCTTCCTTTTCTGTCCACCCCCGCCCCTGGAGAGGTCACTCCAGTAAATAAACACGGGAAGCGGCAGTTTACCGTTCGAAAAACCTCCGCTAGATGGACGTAGGAGCGGGGTACCGGGGGCTATCTCTCGACGGTGGGAGAAGTCTTTGCACTTTATTGGACAGCTACCGCCCGCCCAAGCTGGGCAACCCCCAGTCACTAAGGTGCTGTCCCGTCCACGTTCCGCTTGTGGCCACTTCACAAGTACTGATGATGTCACCTCGGCTGGTGATGAAACGCTTGCAAACAAATTGTCAAGCTAAGCGAACAGGCGAAATGACGCTCTCCTTTCCACTTAACCGTATTTAATGTCCGCACACTCTCTCAAATTGGTCAACAACCTACCTTAGCTAGAACCCTTGAAACCTTCCATTTACATGCATGCTGTGTCTTCGAAACACGAATACGAGGCCCTACTTCAACCATCTCCTTGCGTTCTCCAGATCCAACCTCATCTTCACGCTCCCTAGGTCAGTCGATTCGACATCCGAAGCTTGCGATGTTGCTGGTGTTTTGATTGCGCTGAGTGTCAAGGCCGAGCGTTCACCTCGATTGGATTGCGGTTAATAGCCGATTTTGCGCCGTACTTCTGGATGGTTCAGCACGGGTCAACAGCTATAGAACGAAACGTCGTTGGTAATTCGTCGTATCCGCGTATGCACCGACAGATTGCAGTTCGCCAGAAGGGAAGGATAAATTCTACAAAGACCTCTGTTAACTGCTCCGAAGTATATATATTATATATTTACCACCGGCTTGAAAACAAGCATGGTGCCAATGCAACAACAATGACAGTGA